TTCTTTCTTTCTTTCTTTCTTTCTTTCTTTCTTTCTTTCTTTCTTTCTTTCTTTCTTTCTTTCTTTCTTTCTTTCTTTCTTTCATCATAGAAGCACTACATGCTCATCTTACAGAAAAAGAAAATGCAGGGATGCATAAAGTAAAAGTTTTCTCAATTCCTTCTCTAATCCCACTCTCCAGAAAGGAGTTGGATTTGTCCTCCTGGATTTTCTCCTGTGCATTTGCAAACACGAACATCCACAAAAACACTGTCCTTCTTCACAGATGACAGCACACACTTTGTTCAGCAGGCTGCCTTCTCGCTCAGCAGTGCCTCCCTGGCATCTTTCGTAGCAGGACATAGCAGTCATCCTCAGTGTTCAGTCCGTGATGCGTGTCAGAGGCAGTCCCCGATATTGAAGTTGTCACCATTGAGTTGCTCCTATAAACAATGCCACAGCAAGGATTACTGCATAAATGTTTTCTTACAAACATTTTCAGTTATTGTTGAAGGATAGAAGTCTAGTGTAATTTTTGGATCAAATTATATAGATATTTAAATGTTTATTGGTGCTGTTGAATCGCCTCTTGAACATTATAACAATTTACCTGCTCCTAAAATCATGGAGGGGAGTGACTACATCCCCACAGCTTCACCAACCTTGTCTGCTTTCACATTTTTTTCTTTATTGATTAAGGTATTACATATGTGTCCTTATCCCCCCATTGCCCTTATCCCCCCACTCATGCCCTCACCCCCCTGGTTACTATCACATGTATTACATATGTGTCCTTATCCCCCCATTGCCCTTCCCATCCACCCCCACTCATGCCCTCAACCCCTGGTTACTATCACAGTTTTTAATAGATGAAAATGGTATTGCATTTAAGTTATCACTAATTAGGACAATATCTAATTTTCCCAAGTCATGTATACTTCCAAGCCATGTATATTTCTTCTTTCATTGCTTCATAACCTTTACCATTTTCCGATTGAACACATTTTTAACTTTATCCCTCAAAATGTTCCTACTCAGTCCTTTGTACAATTTTTAAAATGTGAAGGCACATCCCAGTATTGAGTCTAAGACATTTGCTTTGCAGACAATTTTCAGGACCCTTTCGGTGTGTGTTAAATTTGCAAGATAATGGAAAACTGCTTTATTTTGTGTTTGTTGTTATGAACTAGGACAGCAGTCACAATAGATACGTACTGGAAAAACTGGAAAAGCCAGCATCTGTTCCCCACGTGAAGTCTGAGTATCATTTTTCCCAGATAAGAAAAAATTCTCATTTTGTCGCTTAGGAAAGCTAGTGCATCATTGCTTAATCCTAAATGAAAAATCTTGGTTTTGTGGCTTCATTAACTTTATCATTGTATTACAGGAAGTATATTTGCAAATCTCCAGAATTATATAAATGGATTGTCACTAAGTAGGTTTCAAAATTCTTCTTCTTCTCTTTCAGTGCCTTTATCTCTGAGGCAGAAAAGAAGCCCAAGATGTTGAACCAAACCACTTTAGATAAGAAACGACTTACGCTCTGTTGGCAGGAGCTGGTATGTGAAAATCTATTTATACTTTGAAGAGAATTGAAACGTGTTTTAAAAATAAACCTCATGGATGAGGCATAGGTCATAGACTACATGAGGATAAGGTTCTCAAGGTTATACATTTGCATGATATAAAGGCACAGGTGAACAGGGAATATATGGATGAGTTAGAAAGGGACTAGCATTTATTGAATGTTTATAAGAATGAGCTAGGAGACCACCAGTTAGTCCTATATCCTATTCTGATGGATTTCCTCTTGTTCATTTTCTTGATATTTGTATTTTATAAAAGACTGTAGATTCTTTCACTTGACATTCTGTCTCACAAGCTGAGAGAGCAAAAACAAGAACAACAACAACAGAACAAATAACTAGTCTTCCTCTTCTTGGTTTCCTCCCATTAAGAACTATGTTAAAAGTTGTCAGCACTTCCTAAATGGTGCATATGTACACAATGGAATATGAGGTAGCCATAGAAAATAAGGAAATCTTGTCATCTGCAGCAATGTGGATGGACCCATAGGGTATTATGCTGGTGAAATAAGACAGAGAAAGACAAATGCCAGATATCACTTACGTGTGGAATCTAAAAAACAAAATAAATGAATAAGCAGAACAGAAACAGACTCATAGACACAGAGAACATTTTGATGGTTGCCAGAGGAGTTAGTGGGGTGGCTGAAAAAGGTGAAGGGGTTTAGAAGTACAAATTTGTAGTTGCAGAATAGTCACAGGGATGTCAAGTACAGCGTAGGGACTATAGTTAATAATATTGTAATAACTATGTATGGTGGGTACTAGATTTATTGGGGTGATCACTTCGTAAGTTATATAAATGTCTATGGGGTTGTACACTTGAAATTAGTATAAGATTGTATGTCAACTGTAATTTAAAAATAAAAATATATATTTTTAGAAGATGTAAGCACTTCTTGAGAACAGGCTGTAGCTGGTACGCCTCTGTGTCCTGGAGGCCCTGCATTCTGCCTTATAGATGCTCAGACCCTGCAAATGAGGGAGACTGAGAAATGCCAGGCCAAGTCAGACCCTGGCTTCTCTCACCTCCAAACTTCGGTTCCAGCAGTGACACCCAGGGACATTTTATATGAGGCCATGATAATCCTGCAAAGAACAATGACTCAGTATTTGCCTGGCCAGATATATTTTAAAGATGTGAGTGGGGCCCAGAAAGATTTAATGATTTTTTAAAGGTCACAGCTAGTCCATCATTGTCTAGAGACTAAAACTCAAGTCTCAAAACTCCTGGTTCATCCTTTCCAGCAAAATAAGTGAAGGTTTGTGTACTCATTTTCTGTACTCCCAGGGAGGCCAGGTCCTCACCGTACACAGGGTCTTCTTCCTGGCCCAGTTCTTCTTCAGCTCCTTGGACCACCCTTCCCTGTCTCCTCAATGTCACCCACTGCCCACTGCCCACACAGCCCTGCTGTATTCTCAGTGTCTGCCCATCCTTGGCCTGAACAAGTCCATGATTTCAATGTCTCTGCAGTAGCCCAGCCCTACCTCCTCATCTCCAGACCTGTATTTCCAACCTCCTAGTGGACATGCCACTTGCTTGTCTCACAGCACCTTGGACTCAATATACATATCCTACTCAACCCATCATTTTCCCACCTAAACTTGCTCCCCATCCTGCCAGCTATACTCATTTCTCCAGCCAGAAAACTAAGAATCAAATCTGAATCCTTACCTCTCACCCTAAACAGCCAGTTCGATTCCAGGCCTTGTTGATTCTGCCCCTCAAAGCCTCTGGAACTTACTCCACTTCTTCATCCCCAAACTCACTGTCTAAGCTGAGGGCCTTCATGTCTCTGATCTAGACTATTGCAGTAGTCTTTCTTTAATCCATCTCCCTATCACAACCAGAATGGGCTTTCTAAAACACAAAGCCGACTAGATCACTGTTGCTTAAAATAGTCACTGGAGATCTTAATTATTCATAGGACAAAGTCCAGTTTTCTTTTATATGATGTACAGGGATGTCTACTGTCTAGCTCCAACCTAGCACCCCAGACTTCTCTCCCATTACTCCCTTCCCATATGTCTATGCTCCAGCAATTTTGAACCCTCAGTGGTTAGGTGACGTCATATGTAGTTGTTCCCTCTGTCTTAACCGTCCCTTTTTTTTTTTATCAAGTTATTGACTGGTTCGTTCGAACCACTATGGGAGGAAGTGGGGAGTAGGCAGGGCTAACTCACTCAGGGCCTTTGAAATCACTGGTAAGTATTTGGGGTTTTTCCCTAAGCACATAAATGTGGGCTGAGAGAATGAATCCAAGTAAATACTTTTGGGTGTTTCAATCACTCATGCTGAGTTCCTTGGTGGCATTTCTCAAATGATGCCACCTAGGTTTGGAAGCATCCACCAGGCCTCTAGGGAGAGGTGGTGAGGACAATAATCAAGGACTTTGACTCAGCTGGAGGTCAACTCCAGCTCTGCCTCTCAAAGCTGCATTACTCTATTTCCCCAGCTGTCAAATGGGAATAATAGTCCCTACCCCAACCCTAACTGGTTTGGCTCACTGGATAGAGCATCGGCCTGCGGACTGAAAAGTCCCAGGTTTGATTCCAGTCAAGGGCATGTACCTTGGTTGCAGGCACATCCCCAGTAGGGGGTGTGCAGGAGGCAGCTGGTTGATTTCTCTCTCTCTCCCTTCCTCTCTATAAAAAATCAATAAAATATATTTTTAAAAAAATAGTCCCTACCCCAGTCACTAAGGTGGCTATGGTTGTTATGAGGATTAACACAGCAGTTAGAACATTGCCCAGCACAGAGTAAGAGCTCAATACATTTTAGCTGCTATTATTATAGTTGTTGTTAGTATCAGAAGACCTAGTTTCAGGTCTTGTCTACCAGAGCTATGGGACCTTGACAGACTCCGACTTTTCTGGGCCTCAGTTTCTCATCTGTCAAAGGGAAGTGAGATGCTGTTCACTGCCTCCATACTCCTATGAAATTTTTACTAAATGGGCAGCACACTTAGTGGCAGGCCCTGAAATAGCCCCATGAGTGGCTCCATGTGGAGCTTACGAACACCTTCAGGATTTTCCTGCAACAGGGCAGTGCTTGTCCAGATTTCTAGAAAGGTCTGCATTGATTCTTGTCTTGTTTTAGGATGCGATGGCCAAGAAGGCCAAAGGGATCATTCAGCAGCAGAAGAAAAAGTTATCACTTGATGAAATGATCCACGAAGCCCAAAATTTTGTGGAAAAAATCCGCTTCCTTGTGGACGAGGTAATCAACTCTAATGGCGAGCCTCATTAGGAAGATTCGACTGGGTGTTCTCCCAGTGAGGTCTCAATGTTGGATAACAACGAAAGAGCAATATTGTTCCTGATCTCTGCTGAGCTGAGCAGGCACTATTAGTTTAGAGGTGAAAAAGGAGATTTTAAAATTAAGCCAAACATCTATAGCTTTATTGATTTTTTAAAAAATTAAGCTTGAATATTCAGAAGTAAAAAGCATGTTCCTTAATGGACTCAAAGAAAGTCAAAATTAGCACATGATCTTTGATAAGTTTTCAACAGAGGATCGAAACTCATGTTCAATAAAGGTCAAGTCAGCTTCTCATTGTTAAGTTAGTCATAACCATTATCTTCTGATGACTTCTAGAATGATCTAAAAAGGCCATTATTATACATTTATCTGATCACTTTTATTATTTGAGTTATTTATAAGAATGTATTCATATATTGATTATATAATTAAAAATATGCCCCCAAAGAAACAAACAAAATCTATATATATAAAAGGCTAATATGCTAACTGTCTGTCAGGCCACTAAAGATGCCAAATCTTCGGTGCAGTTTGTATTTCCTTCGAGCACAGTGAGCAGTTTGGCAGATGGGTTTACCTTATTGCTAATTCGTGACCTAAAGCTTCTCCTTTTCAAAGAAGCTACACTTAACACTTGCTTGATTGCAGAGACGTTTTAAGTACCTGGGTGGGTTAAGTCACAGAGTTTGCTCTGCAGAAGGAGGACAGGATAGAGGAACTCTGGACGTGCAGTTGTTAAACACCAACCTATCAAATCCATTCCCCTCCATCCCTACAGCCACAGCACACCATCCCTGATGTCTTCCTCTGGATGCTCAGCAACAACAAGAGAGTGGCCTATGCCCGCATTGCCTCCAAAGACCTGCTCTACTCCCCCGTCAGGGAGCAGATGGGTAAATACTGTGGAACCATCAAGACTCATTTCCTCAAAGTAAGTCTGCATTATTTTTGACTCAAAGATGAGAAATCTCTGTTTTTCCTGGGTCACTCAGCATTATTGTGTGTCCATATCTCTGATGCTTCTCCAAGACTTTCAAAGGTCTGAGGACAACTGGAATCCCTGCCCCCTCTTGATTTAAATTGTGATTCCACAGACTGTCTTGAGGCTGAATATTTTCCAATTATGTACTATGTCACCAGACACATATAAGTTTTATCTTTTAATCTAGTGAGTGCACCTCAAGGTTATTTTAATTTTTACTGCTTTGATTACTAGGAAGAATGAATATTTTTCTATTAGTTACCTCTCTACCTCTTCTCTTATGTAACTTGTCCATGGCATTTATTTTTCATGGAAGTTCTTCTATATTTCAAAAGTTGATTTCAAAGAAAATTACAAGAGAAGAGGTTTATATTCCACAGAACTGCTATTTCAGGATTGCTGGTGGCTTTAAATTATAAAAATCTGCTAGTCTTTTCAACTTGGGTCCCTGCACCCTTCATAAAGACAGGGTCCCCCAATGCCTCAGGATTGTACACCCATAGGAATAATCTCCGGATGGATTCTACTGTCTCTAACTTAAGATTTGAGCCTTTCTTAGAGACCCAGGGTATTTTGCCTCTATTTTAAAGTTATTTCTATCGCAGAAATAGACTTGGGCAAATATGGAGAAGGAGTGGTCCAAAGGCTTAACACTCAGCAATGACTGATGACCCTTTCCTAACTCTTTCTAGACTATCCTGGCAGTTCCAGTTCAGATTTCTTGCCGTAACATAGTAATGATTCTTCTACTTCCCCAGAAGGAGGGTGAGATGGTGCAAAACCATGCCCTGCGAACAATGAATGGAGAGAGAGCCATGCTTAAGTGAGATGATGTGACAACATGACAGAGACTTCAAGTGTTTGGAGGGCTACCCATCATGTGATGGGTTGAGTGTGTGTGTGTGTGTGTGTGTGTGTGTGTGTGTAGAATGAGGACTCATGATAGAACCTGAGGATAGAACTGGGATCCATGATAACCATTATAGGGAAATATTTCTCTAAATGGAGGTTCATAATGTTATTCCTCATCCCTCTAGGTACAGCAAAGGCCTGGACAAGTGCTTGATATAAATACGCAGTCAGCAGCCAGGATAGACAGCCTCTGTGCCATCCAGTTGCTAAAGTCTCCTGTAGATGTGATGGCTGACTGCTGCAGGCAGAAGAGGCAGTGTGGGGTAATGGCGTAATGCACGGGCTTTGAAATCAGGTGACTCTGGGTTGGAATTTGTATTCGTTTGCTAGGGATGTTGTAACAAAATACCACAGAGTGGCTTAAACAACTTGAATGCATTATTTCACAGTTCTGAAGACTGAAAGTCTGAAATTAAGATATCAGCAGGGCCCTGCTCCCTCTGAGGGCGACAGGGAAGGACCTGTTCCAGGCCTCTCCTCTCGCTTCTGGTAATCCTGGCCTTGTGACAGCATAACTCCAATCTCCACAACCTTCTCCCTGTGTATGCCTCTCCTCGCATGGTGTTCTTTTTATAAGAAGCCTACTCCAGTTCAACCTTATCTTAACTATACCTGTAATGACCCTATTTCCAAATAAGACCGTATCCTAAGGCAGTGTGGTTAGGATAGGACTTCAGCACATGAATATTGAGGGAATACAACTTAATCCATAACGGAATTCCAGGGCTAGTATTTCTTAGCTGTGTGACTTTGGGTAAGTTACTTACCATTTCTGTGTCTCCTGTTCTTCATTCAGGTGGAGGTGAAGTTGAGGATTAAGTAGATAAACACATATACAGAACATAGACTGTGCATTGCCCAGAGTAATCACCCAATAAACACTGGCATTCAAACAGATGGGCCTCCAACATCCAGAGGATGTTTCTGGAATTGTGTGCTGCCTTTACAGGGGCAAGTTTAAAAATCATTTTACACACATGACAGAAAATAACATAAAATGATAACTGTAAAAGGAAATTTTCATGCAAGTTGTTCACCACAAATATCAGGATTTTTCTTCAGCTTTCTCGATCCACAAGAAACATTTATCTTAAAAATAGCAAATCATTTCCAAAGGCCCTGTGCTAAAAATACCAGAAAATCAGTGGGCTGTTGCTCCCTCCTAAATATTTTGGTGTATCCTGGCATTACTTAAAATAAGAACAAAGAACGACTGTCAAATAAAGCCTGTGGGTAGACGTAGCTCAGGATTGAGAACCTTGGTTTACTCTTTATCTGTATTTTCCTTCTGCCGTTGGGATTGCTCGGGGTGATAGCTTTGTAAATTTTGTTGAATTCAATCTTACGGACATGATGACACATCTTGATAAGATGACTCAGCAGAACTATTTTTAGTCCTCTTGTGATTGTCGCCCCTGCTTTTAACCCCCTCCCTTCACCTCCCTTTCTGCTCTTCTCTTCACTGAACTGGTAAATCTGAACTTTTAACCCCCTCCCTTCACCTCCCTTTCTGCTCTTCACTGAACTGGTAAATCTGAAAAAACGCTAGAGCTGTGCCAGGGAGACAAAGGCTCCACACGCCTGCCACTCACTCCCGACTCTCAGCTGAGCATTAAGAAGTGCAATAAGACAAAGGATAGAATGTAAAACTAAAACCTCCAGGCCAGAGTTTGCTCAAAGTTTATTTTACAGAACCGCTATCCTTCAAGTGGCTTCATAAACATTCTTGTTCAAACGCATTTGGGAGGTTGCAGTTGAATCCCTCTCTTGGACTTGCCCAGTTCCCACAAAGGCTCTGAGAAGTCCTGCAGTCAGGAATCATCTTTGACGTTTACAATCCAAGCTTGCCAGTTGTATTCGTCTAGAATAGCTATTTATAAAGTTTAGGAAGCTACTGTCCTTAGGGGCCCAGTTTGGGGAATATTAATCTAAGGAAGCGAAGGTGCCTCATCTGAACACACATGGCTGAGGAATGGTAAACCCATAATGGCAACCAGGCTTTCGTGGTCCCTGGTTCCATGGTCTTTCTTTTTCTCTAATTTAAACATATTCATAATGCTGCTAACAATGCTGGAACAGAATTCGTGGAGCTCCGCCCAATCCACCATCCACAAAAATCTGAGTTCTCCCCCTTCAGTCTCATACCCACAGTGCCCCTAGTGGCCGAAGGGCAGAAAAGGACATTCATTCATTACCAAAAGGAAACTCTTGGTATGCACTTAGAGCCCAGCCAGAAGGTGACGCTCAACCTCCCTTTTTTCCTCTTGTGTCATCTGTCTCTCTGTGCCAGTTCACCAGGCATTAACTCTAGAGACCTCTTCTCATTCTCATCCCCATCTCTACCCTGTCTCTGCTCCGCACCCCGGGGCCAGTCTCTTCTTCTCAGACCTCTAGCTTTCCATCCTGCTTTCCCTGGGAGCAGCAGAAAGTGGTGTCTGGGTCCTGCCAGAGTGAAACCTCCAAAGGCAAACAAACCTTTCTCTTACTAACACTGATTGAACCAACTTCAACACAGCTCGTGTGAATTAGCATCTTTCTCTCCCTTTGCTGACTTGCTAAGATTTCTCTTTCTTTTAAGCCAGCAGGCATTCACCAGGACCCCCAGGGAGGTGGGTGGGGCATGGGGGAGGCGAAGACTTTAGCCTTCTGTCTCATGAAATGTTTATACATTGGTGATCACAGTTTTTCAATGTGCTTTTGCATTCCTTATTGTTCTCTGTTTATTCCCCCTGCCTTGCCATGCTATTCTCAAAAAGAAAGAAAAAGAAAGACGTTGCTATGGTTGGTCAGGCTACAGGGGCTCATGAGAGACAGGAGAGGGAGGAAGAGGAGGAGGCAGGGGAAGACACTCCCAGGCTAGAAATGCCTGTGAAGCTAAAGATGGGATGAGGCTGCTGCAAGCACCTAGCGTAGTGCTTGGTAATGCTGCGTGCACTCCAACTTGGGTACTTAAGTGAGACTCTGCACTGTCTTGCAAGCAATTTCAATTTGTGTATTTTACTTTGTTTTTTAAAATTATTTTTATTTCTAATTAAATTTATTGGGTTGACATTGGTTAATAAGATTATATCAGTTTTGAGTGTATAATTCTATGACACGTGATCTGTATATTGCATTGTGTGCCCACCAACCAAAGTCAGATCTTCCGTCAATTTGTGGATGTTAAAAAGGATGCATAAACCTGCAAACTTAGGAATGCATCGTTGGTTCTTCTGTAACATTTTCACAAGATGTTAGCTGAACTTTTGGTTCTGACCATGAACACACACACACACATTTCATAGCAGTAGAAGTGAATGCATTTTTTTGGTTTGTTTGTTTGTTTTACTTTAAGAAGCAAAGTATATCAGACCAGCCTGGAGCAATGCAACATAGTAAGTCAGGAGTCTTGGTACTTAAATAGTTAAAACTGCGGTTAGTAGACCAGCAGGATCAGCACCAACAGTGAGAAATAAATACAGAATCTCACACTCTAACCCGGTCCTACGGAATCAGAATTTACATTTGAACAGATGCCCAGGTAACTCCTATCCACTGGTATACACATCAGTGTGTGAGGATCATTGGCTAAGAGTATGGGGTCCGAACCAGGTAGAGCAGGCTTGAGTCTTAGCTCTACCCCTGCCTCACTCTGTGACACTGGACAATTGTCTTAACCTCTCTGAACCTCCATTTCTTTATTGTTAAAACACACAATAAAGTATATACTTTATAGTCATAATGAAGATGAATGATTACCTATGACTTGCTAAAAGTATGCAGGTAATGGGACATTCTTTGTGGATGAAGGAACATTAGACCAGGGCCTGGACAATGTAAGTGCTCAATGCATGTGAAATATTATTACATCATCATCATCATTATTAGAAAAATAAATAATTCAACAAATATTTACTGGGTGCCAAGCCCTCTTTTAGGCATTAGGGACATCACTGTTATATCTACAAATGGCAGAGGGATTGCTTTTATTACAACAAAATAACCTTAGGCTCTCAATAAATATTTGTTTTATTGAACAGGTGCTTAATGCATCTTAGCTATTATTGTTATTATTATTATAGAAGCGATGAATTGAGAATTATTTGTCTTATTATAAATTTTAGAATTATAAATTGTGGAGTGGTTGTCTTTACCAACAACAAAAGGACCTTTTACCCTATTTGTAACCTAAATAAAGAACATATTCCATTCCCTAAAGAATCAAATCCAAACTTCTCCACATAACCAGCAGGATTCTCCAACGTTAGCCTGTATCACCACTGTCAGTTCCTGCTCCCATTATCTTTGTTCATGCAATTCCCTCTTCCTGGGGTGCTTCTCTACTGGTCCAGCTCCAAAGTACTGAGTCTTGAAGAAGGGATGAAAGTACCTACTGCCACTTCTCTGCTCCCATAGCATTTCTGCTCTTACACTTGACTTTGTATTTGAGTAAGTGAATGAAAGCTGGTCTCCTTGTCTAGATGTGAGGACTGTGTCTTGGTCCCTGTGATGCCCTCCTGACCTACTCCCTCAGCAATTTCTAGAGGCACTTGTCAGAGTTGCTGAATTGAGTTGCTCAAAACCCACTTACGGCACCCGCAGAGCAAGATAAGAAAGTGATTGGCTATGCTCAATGCTGGATTCAGGGTCTCTCCACGGGTGCCTTGGAAAAGTCAGAGCAAGTTGTAGCCCCTCATAGCAGGATTTTGTGATTCTCTATGGAAAAGAAGTGGTGCAGAAGGAAGAGGGCAGTACTGATAGGAGATCCTAAGAAAACTAAGGAAAGCCACTTAGAAGGGTCAACAAAGTATGGGCAGGTTGCCATTCTCAGAGCGAAGGCCTTGCCAGCGATCCTGAATGCAGCCAAGTCTGGGGCCTGGGTCTCCTTAGATGGGGGCAGGGAGTCTCCTAATCCTGGTGATGGGTGAGGGAATTAGAAACCACACTGCATGAGGAAAGGAGGAAGGAATGAGAAGTATTTAGCCGAGAAGAAAGAACATGGTAAAGCAGGTAGGTTCCTTCAAGCACATGGAGGCTTGACCTATGGAAGAAACATTTGAGTTCTTCTGAATGAAGCCAAGAGGTAGAGGCTGTCGCTGGAGCTCCAGGCACTTGGAAGGGCTGGGAAGGGAGAGTTCAACTCAGTGTGGGAAGAGGCAGGTGGTGGGGGTC